AATCAACGTACCCATTGTACGCGTGGAGTGAGCGCTTCCTTGGAAATGAACTAGCGAAGGCTGCCATCTTAGCTGGTTTCCAAGGTCCATGTCGCGGAACCTCTTCGTCTGTTGAAATTAGCTAACTCCTCTAAAGCTAGCCAATTACGGATTACATTATCTCAAGTTCACAGAACGTTTTAAGGATATCTATTGAGATACTGCCACGCGACAATTCAAACGAGCTCAGCTGGGCTACAGTTAGACCCTGAGGATAAACTGCACAACGTACGGTACAGACAAACACTATGGCGAAAATATATATTTTGTCAGGGTTATACAACTAGTAGCGATACTTAATCGATAGTTATTCGTTGTATAAAACGTAGTCATTGTTAAAGCTACAAAACCTTTTCGTAATTATCTCCCTTTTTGCTCTAATGAAACAAGGGGATCTAACAGCACAATGCTCAGGTTCAAAACGTAGCACTAATTTTCCTCCCGAACTTATGAATTGAGCATGTAGAGACGCTCGAACAAAGGTCGTCTTCAAACGTCACCGTCCATGAATGGTCGGTGCCATGTGATGACGAAATCACTCGAAAACCGTTAACCTTACGTACGAAAACGACAGTGTCTTGTGATAGATCGGTCCGATGTTAGTTTAGCAATATGAGACAAAAAATAGGGAGAGAAATATTATTAGCTATACTTGTTTATTTATCTCAAATTTATTATTGAAAAGGTCTTCTTCTTAATCAATCTTAATACATACCAAATGTAATAAAAGTGGTTTAATTTATGTTAGCCTACAAAATATCTAAGTAGGCGCCACTTCAGCGCCTATAGCGTAATAAACAAACAGGCTGGAATTACGATCATCCTAAATCTTCGTAATCTTTAGCAAGTATATTTTGTCGACGGCCCTTGCTTGTGTGTACATAAAAACGATATTTGCACACACACACACACATATATATATACCTATTATCGAAACATATAAGCACCGGCTATCGGCGTTGATGTACTTGCAATGGGTTTCCATGTGTCCAACCCCTAGCTAAAACTCACTGTGCATACGTATTACCTGCGAGAAAGGCCAAGAGGCGGCTTCCGACCAGGTATGCTTAAAGCATACTGCATTCGGCTGCTATTGCTCTGAGAACGTTTTCAAAAACAAAGTCGTATGCCGTAAATTATAGCACTTACGGATGGACTTTGTCCATTCTAGATACGAAGCTCCAATAAATAAATCGTGTAGCATATCAACTCAGTGATGCAATCGTTTACACAATCGATAACCAAAATATAGATATTATCTAGATATATGTGTACATCTAGAAATTACAGTTTCAGATAACAAATAACACGCTAGATATGCCCCTGCCGGTGATGAATGGCCACATAGAAAACGATCTGGAGCCGATCGATCTTACCCGGGAGAAATTTCCCCCGTACTATCTGAGGTTCGACCAATTACAAAACACACAAACGCTGTCAGATTTCGACCCGTTAAACTTTCTCATCAGTTATGGTGATAACTGCCAATTGCGAATGTAGCCTTAACATGGTATATTGCTACACAAAGTTTTCTTCAGCTGTTGCTATACTGATAATTTTTGCCGTTTAAACGAATTGGGGAGCGATACCGGACATGTTTACGCGTATACTATTCTTCGATACGCATATATTATACAACTGCCCACGGGAACTTTGAATTTTACCACGTACAACTCGAAATTTTTGCTTAAACAAATCAACCGATCGCCCGCTTACACGACAAAGCCGTTTTCTGAAGCAAGCTGACAATATCTCTCCAATAAATCGCGGTCTATTTTTACATGAATTCGACTCTTTCTCTATAAATACAGTATCATTTTTGCAGAGATTTTTCGACGATCCGATGGCAATGCCACAAATTGATCCTGACCTGCACTAGGCCAACGAGCTTAGATCGACACACACACAGCCTTTGTCTTTAGCTCATTCTCGCAATCTGCTTTTTTCTCTTCGTTGCGGCTAACGATGCTTACAGAAGCTCAGGATAGGCAGATCGGTGTTTTTCTTATGATCGATGATATAATAACACAGTTCTATGTGCGGCTCCGACTCACGATGTGTAAGTAAAGGCCACTATATATACATATATATATATGTGTGTGTGTGTGTGTACAACATAGTTTTATGCCATTTAATGTTGCCTACATACGAAAAACCGATGACCAGTGCGCGGTGCACACAATTATAAAAACATATAAACAACGAACTCTGTGTTTCTTGGTTGCCGTGCTAACGGTTTGTGCAAAAAAACAAGCCTGAACGTTCTTGAAAGTCGACTTGAAGGATTCCCATGAATGGTAGGACTGCAAAGAAGATAGGTTAGGTGGAGAATGGCGGCCACTGTTGAGTTGGCAGAGCTTTATTACGATCTGTTTCGAAACAGGCGACATATCTAAACATTTTAAAAATCTTCATTTCATAGAAAAATAATCCTTTAAATTAAGCATAGTACGTGTAGTAGAGATGCACACACTATATATAGGAAAAATAAGGCTCATCCAACACTCAACTTTTCCTTTTCGAACCTCTTACTTATTTAACGAGCCCGCTTATTTTCTTTTAAAACTATGTAGATATAGCTACGTTATAGACACTTGGAGCACGAAATCAGTAGCGTCTTCAAGATAGAAGCTGGCGCATCGTAGATTGCTTTTACCCAATTATTTATTATTTATTGAATGCAATGCATTCAACGCATGCAGTGCACCGTCACGCTACCAGAGTTGTATTTGCTCCACTCAGATCCTTAGCTTTTATGAACTTCAACTTGCTTCAGTCCAGCTTGTCCTTGCACTATTGTCCTTGAACGAACAACTATTGGGCCTTCAGCAGGCTTGCTAAACAGCTGAATTTTGAAACACTTCATATGCGTTGACCATGAGGGCTTTACACCAAGACGATCCTTCAATATCGAAACGAAAAACCTACTAATAAATAATTTTTATTCCAAGAAATAAAGCCGTTTAATGAAGCGCCAACTTAAATTTGCTAATTGTCACAAAACAAGCTTAAGGCAAATTTCTAATATTTCAATGCCGCATGAGAAAAAAACCTCAATATTGGCGAAGGTTCGAACCGAGAACATTAATACCAACAGTGTTACGTGTAATGATCTATAATTGAAGTTGATAAGCTTCTATGGTAAATCTTACAGTTGGCAAGGCGCGGTTGTAAGTTTAATCTTGCCAAATCTCCTTCTTCCGTTTTTGTTTGATTAATTTTAATAGCCAATTTTTTGCTTCTACCGACGCGCACGTCGCTCGCTATCAGATTGGGGTGAGTTTCCCCACTTGTTTAGAGACGAGACGCCGAAAATTTGAAGTTCGCTGAGTATCAGCCGCCTAAGTAAACACGTTTTCCAATACCTAATAGACATATGTGTACGTGAGAGCCAGCTGAATCTTCGGAATCATTTTAAAAGGAAAATCAAGGCTATGGAAATGTGATATTTAACATGAAACGTATCTGCTTTCCTCCAGTGTAACGCGTCGTTGTCACGACACCATCTACGAATTACAGATAAACGCGTTTAATTTTTAGTTTTTCTATGACGTTATGCTTGTCTACCGTTGCGATGCGACGCTAAAAGAGCGGTAATGGCTTCAAGGAACTCGTTGCGCTGGCAGGTTCCGTGGAATACAACAAGTCAAGCACCGCATACATAGATGTGTGGCATTTCTGCCCGATGGCTGTAGCATACATTTATAGAAGCTGGTTAAGAATCGTACTGCTTGTTATTATTATTAAAACCATTAGTATCATTCTTATTATTAGTAGGAGGGCAAAGTATCGTTGCTAAGGCTCCGGGCACAGATGGAGACCGTAAAGGGCGAACCAGCTCGCATCCCATACCTCACGAGGCTTTCGATTTCACTGTCGTTGCGGCGATCTTCGTTAAAAAAAAAAGTTTATCTGAAACAGGAGGATAGAACAGAGGATCGAAAGATATAATTTTCATGGCTTTCGTTTGGTCTGCTCCTTCACGGTTTGTTCTTACTTTGCTTTTTCTTGGCCTTCCTCTACTCTTTTAGCACCGGAATTGGCAGTGCAGCCTGTCAATACCTCCCTTCCCTGGTCCGCTCCACCCTCAATGTGCTACCCGCTTCGTCTATTCACGAACAGTTCCTCAACACGATTCGGTTGTGGTCGCGGACGCAGTGGGATCATCACCCCGAAGGAGTACGCAACAGCAACGGCGAAAGCGTACGAACGCGGAGAAGAAATTGAACGCCGAGGCGGGGGGCCGCCACCGAGGTGATAAGGTTAGCCGCCGGTGAGCAGCGGTTCCTTTAGCTCTGTGCCGATAATCGTACGTAACATCGGCATTAGAAGCACTGACGCTAGTAGTGATTGTTTATTGGTGACGCGCCGTGGCGGCGACGGCGGCAGTACAAGCTACAAGCCAATGCTCGTAGAAACCACACGGATTTCTACTAGCGGAACAGCGCAAGCAGTCGGCATTGAACAAGCAAAAAGGCCGGGTAGGCGCTGGGGGTGCGGGACCTTTCTTCAGTCGCTGACGACTGCGGCTATACAGCAAATTGATTTCGATTCCGTACAGATCAAGATTAATACCTAGATAGCAATAGTAATGCACTCGACTGCATAGCGGCCAATTCTATTGGCACAGCCGATATTGATAAACACGTAGATATCAAGGGACGCCATGTTTAGCAACCCGCATGCGCCGGCTCGGCGGAATAGTGAACAGGAAGTATTCATTACTGCACATTGTCGAACCAAGCTCGTAAATGGACAATGCTACTAGATAAAGGTATACATTATGGTGAATGTGGGTCAGTGTTAGACATATTTAAATAACTTTATACAAGTGTGAGTTGTATTAGATTTATTCCAGCATAAAATAAAGCTTATTAATATGGAAGGTTGTCGCTGCATTTAGGGGCAGGACACTCATACAACAGCTGACTAACATATTTTCGTATAGAAGAAAGGCGCAAAATTAATAGTGCGTTATGTTTTTTTACTTTGCTAGCCACTTCGAAGAACAACAGAGATTTGCCCCAGTGTCCTATTTAATGCCATCTCTGAAATATCACATCAAAAAGACAAGAAATATTATATTACTGATTTAGACGCTGTCTACTTTCGATGGATGTGATAGAAAGACAAACAATTCTCCATACATATTGCAAAATCAGAGTAAGTTGTGTAACTGGTATTGCCACCCACACACTTACACAATGAACTTATATGGCTGAAGCTTGAAGACAGGCAAATTACTTATCGGTTGTCTAGATCTAACTGACGGACTCGAAAACTGTCATACATATCAAACAGAAATATTCAGGTAGCCAGTGCTTCAACATCCTCCTGAAAGCTTCTCGCGTTGGTCCGTCAAGCAGCTGCCGGCCGTGCGTAAATGAGAGCAGACGACTATTTCCTGTACGCTCTGCAAGGCGGATCCATCTCCTGATCAATATCTGGATGATTCTAAGGTAAATTGTTTGGCAAACATTTGAAATGCACTTTAAACAAATACCTCTATAGATTATCACTATTATGAAGCGTTAGCGCGTTAGAGGTGCTGGGCGTCGTGGGTACCGCCAGACAGGTGTCAATTAGATAACAATGTCGACTTTGATCTTAAACGGTAACCAATAACCTCGGTCCGCTCAAACATAATCGCTTAATAGAGAAAAAATGAGTGTCTGCTTGGAAACTCTTTCTGCACTGCTACTAGACGCGCGTACGTAATGGGCCGTTGTCCAGTTGGCTGTAAAGATCGACAAACTTGCTGGCAATTAGTACCTTTTTCAGGCCGATGTTTCGACAGTCCATAATATAATGGCTTTATTGTTGGCCAATCAGGAGTTCAGTGCAGTAAATTTTTCTTCGGAAAGTGTTTTGTTGAGCCGTTACGAGTACGGTGGTCCTTTAAAATAATAAGGTCAGAATCACTACACTGTCAATCTTCATCGTTTACCGTATACTTCAACGATAAATTTAATTTTTTTTTTCTATTCCAGAGGAGGACTCTAGAAGACTTCTAGAGGACTATTCTAGAGAGTACCGCTTATTGTTAAAAAGAAAAATGCTTCCATTTGGTGGTTAGATATAAAGTTCAGCCTATTCAGTAGAGTCAAGCGTTTCAATATACGTCCAGGGAAAATTTGGTGCTAAAGCATGTCCATAGTTGGCAGTGCTTACCCCCTCTGCCAGAAGCGTGCATGTGTTTGTTACTCGAACGGTATACAGTATTGTTTCCTTTTTTGCTGCTTCTCGTGCCCCTTTTGTAAAAGATCGCTGCTATTAATTCAAAACAGGTTAACTACGAAGTGACGCACTGCTGCTGGTCCTATTAGATTGGGATAGGGGAGATAGTTTTTACGGAACATGTGTCTATCTTTATTTATTTCAGGATGCTTGGTAGATGAAGCGAAAAAAGCATTTGCGTTCGTCTCGTATCTGCGGTAAACCCGTATGACCAGATTAGCTAGTGATGCTTACTTCAAAAGGATTGCTTAGTAGATATTTGATCAGAATCACCACAGTTAAGGTAAGATTTTGCTGGGTGTTTTCTACTTATGAATTAATACAATGTCTCTCTGGGTAGCTTTGAACAAGCAGTGTTTCCGCATAGACTCCATTAGTCTGCCATGATTTTGACGTTATACGACTGAAATTTGCTGGGTTCCACTTATGTGCTGGCTTCAGCCTGGCTATCTATTTATCCTCGGAGAATTAAGAATCTGTTTCTAGAATTCAGCCGCAGTCGTCGACGCCGGACAGTCATGGACCAGATTTGTAGGCAGAATGCGGGCTATGTTAACATTCTCCCGCTTGATACTCGGTAAATTGTCAAGAATTAGAGACTTACAAACTCGCTCATCCTCCTTTACTTTAATGGACAGATCTTAATAATATTTTTCTCTTAATCTCGTTTCTCAAATGACCTTTAGGTGCGTTTTGTCTGCGTTGGCTGATTAAACGTCCACGTACTAGGCCATAAGTAAACCATAGCGAGATTTTGGTGTAACTCACCGTTTAAGTTACTGCTTGAAATTTTGTTTACTCTGTTCTAGCATAAATGCAGCCCGGTCAGAATGAAGGACATATACGACACATGTACAGTGGTCCGAGATCCTAAAATACAAAAGGCAAGCTCTGATTATTAAAAATCGCACATTAACAGTACCTGCACAGTATCTTACTGAGCTTCTGAGAACCAGCGAATTAATTAGAATCACAATTTATTCAAACGTGTTGGTCAATTCAGCCAGCCCGGCTGATGTCAGCTGAGAGCAGAAGTATGTATCCTTACGTAGACGTTATTCACACGTGTCTAACTTCACTGTTCACTATTCATGCAACTTTAACAGAGTAAAACATCTGTAAATGAGTCGTTCAGACCGAACTTATGTATCGTCTTAAAATGTACGCTTGTCCTTGTACAGGCCCTTAAACATCTACAAAGCGCGTTTGATTGTAACGCATCTTTGGCTTAACGGTAACGTTAACGATAATCGGATTGCCAATGTTAACTAAATAGTAATGCAGGCTAGCGTTCCTGTGTCGTTTAGAGACGAGATTAGCTCAGCTTTCGATCAGCAGTGCGGTTCCCGCATGTATCCTCTTGTTTGGGACTAAATCACACTCGGACACAGAAACGCTCAGGATGACGCCGTGTTAAGCAAGCTTCTCGCATGTCTTCCCGCGTACAGGACGACACATCTTCTCTATGGCGTTTGGTCGCCGCTTTGGTTCTTTCGCAGGCCGAAAAAGACGCTTCTATAGCAAAGAATCCTGCCCGTTGCATAACAGTGGGGCGCGCGATCACTTTTCCCGCCGATTTCATTGTTGTAGTTGTCCGATTATGAGGTTAAGCTCGTTGTCGCTGCTGCTGCCACTGCCGCTGCCGTGCTTATAACTATCTGTGGGCGTGCGATCTGTATTTCCTAAAAATCCTTCATGCGGTATTAATAATTGCCGTCTCATAAATTATGGGCAGCAAGTAACACCGAGTCGCTCTAAGGGTAGACAACGATAGGAATAGAGGGGTATAGAAAGAATACGCAGTACGGCTCATGCCGAAATAATGATCAATGCGTCAGACGATGCTCGGATGGCCGTCTTCCGCGCCGCAAATCACGAATATATAGCAGCGCCAATAGCATGAACGAAAAAAAGTAGGTCTTCTGCTTTTTGCTGTTTGCAATGTGATGTACCTCGTCACCTAGCCCACTTAAAATTGTTGCTACCGCTATTATGTGGCATTGCTGTGCCTCGATCCGTATTCGCCGCCGCTATCGCAAGTACCCGTCTAAGTAATGGCCTGTTTTATCAAAGGCAACTCATGTTGGCAAAAACGAATAAGCGACACCTAAGCGACCTGTTCCAGTGTTCTTAATAAATCAGTGTTTAATTTTACGGTATCAGGAACAAACCGAGTCAGTTCCCAGTAGTTTTTGACGCCCAATCAGGATATAGCTTTTTCTTGCGCGACACCAAACAGACAGACTGATCTTGTCGAAAAGTCTGTCATCTGGCTATTACCTACAACAAGTTCACCTGGCTACGCTACGTTCATTACGCTAACCCGCTTTTCAAGTTACCGTAGTAACGCTTACGACGATTCATGGAATAATAAGCTAGAAGCTTCGCGAGCCTCGAGCGAGTGAGGGGATGTACGGCAGGCGAGTTCAATGGTCGTTACATAAATACATTTTCGTCCATGTTTAATTTCAAAATAAATATGTTCTTTCAACGCATTCGCAATTGGCTATGGACCGTGTGAATCAGCTTTTTATTAGCTAAAGTTTATTAGCTTTCTGCTCATATCTACCTAAATGGACGCCACCTACTACAATTAAACAATGGTTCTCTCCATTCAGCCTTAGTCCCTGATAATAAAAAATTGCCGAAGGCAGAATATTCCATTTATTAATTTAATGTAATATATACATATGTGTGTGCGTGTGTGTGTGTGTGTGTGAAAAAGGATTGACGCTTTCATAGACCTTTTATGGGCTGATTTACATCGCCCCAATCGGGTCAAACTACTCTAGTTGGAAATACTGTGGATCGTGCGTGCCAAATTCGCCACCTGTTCCTAATAACAATAATAAAAGATGCGTGATCTATCAACTACTGTCAAACGGCGTAGTTCCAGAAGTATGAGTGGAGACTTTTCTGTTAACGGAAGAAGCGCTCTTTATTTCAAATGTCGCCGCAACGTCCTACTTGTCATAATCAAGATGACGTCAGGTTTACTTGACAAACTCCATATCCTTCCAATTGTATCTGGCTAAAATGTCTATTAGGACCTCTATTTACTAGCTGATTAACAACAAACATCATCGTTTCCGCGGGATTGGCACAAACAAATACTTGCGCTAGATCTGAATCATGTTGGCCACTACGTTAATCCAAAAGAATGTAAAAGGGTTTAATTTACTCCGCGTATAGTGAGTTAAGCCTAACAAGCCCGATTACCTCGAGATACATGGGTCAGGGAATGAAGTTTCCTGTTCCCTGCATGAAAAGTAAAACGAACTTCGAGTTTTCTCTAGGACAAACTCGACCTCCGCATAAGCGATTTCATAGTCATAATGGTCCCGTCATTTAGAAGCAAAATGAAGATCCGGAACGTTTTTTACTTTGCTATTTAAAGTAAGTTGTTGAATGATTAGTTTCTTTTTTGCGGTATGCATATTTCAATTTGCTTCTTTATTCAATTCAAAAATGAAGATGGACGCAAGCATCCCTCATCATGGGTACCTGACCCGATCCATTGTATGTTTTTTTTTCATTGTTTAATGCTATATTATATGAAATTGCTATAATCGCGCAGATGGCTCAATCAACGAATGAAACTGTAGGATATAAAGAAGCTACATATACGCGTTTTCTCTCACGCAGTACCCTGGCCTTTAGCCCTTCATCTACCTGCATTTTCGAAGAAGTGTAATACATATTCACGGCTATGATTAAATATCCTCAGGCCATACCTAATTAAATTACCTGAACCTAATTTTGGTCTTCCACGCCGTAATAGCATATTATTATTTAACTGCTAACACTTGACGTTGCGTCTACAATATAATCTAGATAAGATTGTTTCCTATTGTTGTTACACAACACAATCTATAGAAGGAAGCCTTCGCTCTAAATGGAAAAATCAAAATGGCCAAGTCTTTGATAATTGGCTTAGAGGTCTCAGTTCGTTACATCTATGCATAAGGAAAAATTTTCAACCGTGGACACAAATTGAAAATTGCTATAAGATAAACAACAAGTGACTGTTGTAACAAAAATTTAGAAAAGCGTTAGTAGTAAACGCCTACCGTTATCGCTTAATTATCTTCGCTAGGTCCTTTCTCTGCTGACCGATAACGCCGTGTCAAAACCTTCGTCGCGGCCTACATCAGTTAGCAGCCTGGTTCATAATACAATATGGTCAGGTTTGGAGTTTGTCCTTACGTGCACAGTTTCGTAGAACGGAAACGCACAAGCTGGATAAAAGGCCACACGAGTCTGTGAAAACAATTCTTGCCGTTATTATATCGGTATACATCAAAACTTATTAACTGTGGTTGACGAAATGCACAAAGTAATTGAATACAACATCGTTGACCCTTAGTAATGAAAGAAACGGTCGCAGGAACTAACTTACTTATTTTGCCGCTTCAGTTCAGGGGAGTCAGAAACAACGAAGTTTTGCAGCGGCATCAGCATCCCAAAAAAATTTATGGAGCGAAAATCAGAAAATTCTGTTTGACATGTGCTTATATGTTTATACATTACTCTTGTAAGTCGTACATGGATAATGCCAAAAAAAAAGTTTTGCCTCCATAGGAAAAAGAATCCGCATGAATCAAGTGAAATTAGGGTTTTGTTATGAATTGCTTTATTCTATCGTCGTAATTAGGTCACACTCTAACTCTGCGTCCGCGTTAGGTTTCCTAGGGGTTAGGCAATAGCTGCATCGTTACCGCGTTAAATGCAAAGCAGCTGAGGTCAAAAGCTCTCAGCACAAAATGGTAACTAGAGTGTTAACGTGGTACAAATATGAATATGGTGGTTTCGCAATTCTGATGTTCTAGCTTCAATACCCAGCTGAAGCTCTGTCATTCGATTAGCTCGGAATCCCGCACAGTTTTATCTAACTAGCGTCATTACCATCATATTCCTCATGCACCGCGTATATTAATTACTGAGCTTATCCCCTCCAACAGATTCTCACGGGGGGCAAGTGCGTGTAACTTCGAATGTGATGCCGTGGTCATCATAAACAGCACAAAGGATACGGCCACCACTAGTCCTATCCCCAGCGTTAACAAATAACAACTATAAACGAAGACAACTGATTAATCAAAACTACGAGAGATCCGTCTATATGATCGCTATGTCGTTTAACAGATTTGAGCAACCACAGATAAATCAAGCTAACGATACGAGCAAACATCTTTTGGCTCCGGACACAATTAAACTAAATCTTGAAAAACCATGATGGAATAGAAGATACAAAAAAGCATTAACGATCACGCTTTAGTAGTGTCTATTTTCAGCATGACGAGAGTCGGCGCTTCTCGGTATAAATCTACGTACGACCCATCACATTTTAAAGATGGCCATCTGCAAATTCAGTACAACCAAGAGAGCCAAAGCCCGCAGAATAATAATAGCCTGCATCAGTTTTGTTTCACTTAGAAAAAATTATCCTGTCAAATTTCCTATTTAAATACTTCTGTGGTCCTGAAGTTACGCCCATAATCGAATCAACGTAACGCTTAAAATCGAGTGCATCCACCGCTCTGATTAACTGAGTGGCCGCTTTTAGCATCTGTGCCTGATCTTACCTTGAACAAAGTCCCCGAAGACGATTCGACAGTATTTCAGGCCAACGAGCGATCACCGCCCTTCGTCTCAACGGAACCCTACCGCCGTATCGTCTAACAATTAGATTGCAATTAACCAGTAAAGCCGCAACATCATCTCAGAACATTTCTCACCTTTAGTTTCAATATAAGCGTCTATCCTTCTGCATCGTTTTGCTTCTTTTCGCCTGCGACCTCCCGCGAACTTTGGAACAATCGTCCGGATCGTCCGCTTGTACGAACAAACCTCAATGACCTCTGCTTTAGTGAGGTATCTTCTCATGTGGGCATACATTCTTCACCTAGACGATTCCAGGTGTCAATAGTCTTGTTTGCAACACCTAGTGTGCGTTTTTCTTCATTTTTTTGCAATGGAATAACGGATGGACGATGTTCCGGAAGGAAGATAACAGCGACTACAAAAACATCGAAGTTTCTACTCTATCACTCGGGTTGTACGGAAATCAATTTTCAAATTTATACACCGTTCTAGTAGCAATCTTTGACTAAGCCTCTGGCTGAAAAAGACGCGATTTATATACTTCACACCTGCAAGTTTTGTATAAGATTAAGAATCGTCCAAAGGATGGGTCTAATACAATTCATTGTGAAGGAAGTCGAAGCAGTTACGGTAAGGCCACCTAATTGTACAGTATCACTTGTTTACGGTATATATCTAGCGAATCAACAGACAATAACTGCGATGAAAAGGTTAACTACCTCTGGCTCTTGCTAGGCAAGCTTTCTGAAACTTCTTCTTGGAATCTAGAAAGTAGTACGTCCATTGGAACATCCGACACTTGTTTCCAAGATCCAGCTGAGTGGTGGCGCATAATACGTTTCCACATTTTCGTACGCTTGTGATTAGGGAAGCTCGACATTGCCTGTTGAGACACTGTGCCGATCGCCTCAAATCGAAACCTGAACTAAAACGTCCCATTTTTGTGACGGAAAGGAATTTTTCTCGTACTGAAAATCCTTTCATGACGCGTCCCTTCGAGTCAAATAAGTTTTTTTTTTTTTTTTTTTTTATAAATGTTCTACTATACGGTCAAATTAAGTATGAAGTAAAATCTATCGCACAGCTGTGAGAGTGGTGGTGTGGAGGGTTACGCAGGCGACTTATAGAGAGGGCGAAAGGGAGAGAGAGAAAGAGCTTTTGTGTGACACCAGTTGGCTCTCTCTCTCTCTCTCTCACCTTGTATCGTCATGCAAAGCTAACGTGAAGCATATTCCCCTTTTCAAATGAGGCCGATAACAGATCGGGTCGTGTTTGGCTTTTGACGTAGAAACGAGAAAAATCTAAATAATTTTAATTTAGCTCAGGGTGGGACGATTATTGTTTGTGGCGGTATACGTAGATAATGGGTCTCGCCAATGTTCATCTAAATATGGAAATCTAAATAGTTTCACTGCTTCGATAGCGGCGCGTATCTTTAATCGTCGCTCACTTAATTTGGGTGACGTCGATGAAATAATGTGGTATTGATGTTTCAACATCTGCTCATTTTTGCTAACTTCCTGGCTAAGCTAGACCGCCGATTTGGTAACGAAATTTCGTTTTTATTGCTACAGTAAATAAATTACTGTAGATAGAAACTAGATTGTTAGAATATGGACTTGGGCGCATCAGTTAATAACTATAGAAGCATAAAGTTTGTTGGTGTGGAACAAATTATATGGATGGGACAGATTAAATCAATGGATCATTTTTTCTACGCTTGTTTTTTCCTGGTATATATTTTGGCTATATTTTTTTACCCTAAAATCAGTATCATCAATGTCATCTGAGCCAGAGACAAAAGTTGAACGTATTAGAGATAGTTGCAATGCAGAAGCACCGCTTTCACGCCTTGCCATCAATCCCCCGTCCCTTTTTGGTTTGCTGGCCCTGACAGGTCTGCCCAAAGCAGCAAGAAGGGTGCTATCAAAAATAGATCTGAACTTAGCCCATCCCGTCATGCTCGAATCTTTCGCCAACTTCCCAATAGTACCCACTTTAGAGCCTTAGGCGAAGCCTGCTTAAGTCGGAAGGGAGGACATGCTGATTTTGAGTTCCGAGGAGTAGCACGACGATAGTGGCAAACCGCTCTGACAATCTAAAAAGCTGGGACCGATTCGAAACGGGAAGCCAGCTGGGGTGGAACGCTGAGAGTGGATATAGAGGGATGTTCCGAGAGCTCGATGAGAACTCTCCCACAGACCCCAGTATCTTCGTCCAGTCCTTCTTGACTTGAAATTATTGCAAAACGTCTAATTCAGTCCTTTTTCTGACATTTTATAAGCAATGGTAGTATAAAGCGAAGCACGCAGATATTTCTTTCAAACGTTGTAACTTACATCAGCTGTCATTTCGCCTAAGTACGATATAACTCATTCGTAGACTGATTTTCTACTGCCTTAACCACTGTGATAAATAAACGAGGTCTCACTACGATTATCGTTATACATATTATACTAACCCTGTTATACGATTGTAAAAATTGAATAATTGTCTCATTTATTTAATTATTATTATTATTATTATTATTATTTAATTTAAATAAAAAAGATACATTGAAAAATACAGTACTAACAGTAATAACAATATCGCATATCAAAAAATCCTCACAAACAAAACCTGCATCCGGCGAAATGTGATGTAACCAGCGACACGTGTCAGGCTTGAATTATTGGCACCCCTTTATGACTTCTGCTGTTAGAAATAGCATCGACCACTGATGCAGAGACTATAAAAACTGGCCGTTTTTGCTTTGTTTTAGCCATTAAGTGTCTAGGCTAGCCCTAACCGTCTTGTGACGGATATAATCCCAAAAGTTATTATCATCCGTAGGTCTATTGCAAAATATATCCGCTCAAGGTTGTTATTGTCTTTCTGTATATGCTAGGATATTCGTGCATATGCTATAACGGAAATAATATATCGATATGGCTCTCGAAATGTTTTTGTGAGACGGGTGGTCCTTTTCAGAGGGCATATGGTATCGTGTCTGACACACTGAATGAGTAAACAAATACAACTAAAATACTGGTGTCCATTGTCCTAGGAAATTCAACGCAAACTTCGCCTCACGTCTCCCCCCCTTCCGCCCTGCCGCGCCTCTAGAAAGTAGAACTGAAGGTTCATATAATTGACGCTAGCCGGCGATCAAACGTTTACACCAGGAGCGGCAAATTCAAAATGTCGACGAGTATAAGCTTTACAGCGCTGAAGCAGGCTTTACAGATCCGAGTGCTGCAAACCTTGGAAAAGTCAAGGAAATTGTTCATAACAATATTCAAAATGTGAAAGAAAGCAGAGTAAACACGTGCTTGATTCTGTTATCATCTATCTTCAAATAGATATCACAGCAAGTTCCGTTACTTTGAGTATCTCTTTACGCCTATAAATGACTACCACCGATTTTTATGAATCACTTACGAAGTCATCAACATAGGCACCGTATAGATATGAAATAAGTTATTATATTATATAGATTTACAAGCATTTGCAGGTACATAAACCTTCGAAGAGGCCCTAAAGAAGCTATTCAAAGGCGTGAGCCAAAAAAGCTTGCTCTTTATAAACTTCAGCAGATCAGAGAAAATCTATCTCAATGGATTAGAAGAAAAATAACCCGAAACTGGGGTGAGATTTCGTGAGAGAGCGCTTTCATCGACTTCGATGCATCAGTATTAATTGGCAGTAGATCGATGCAATATATTTTCGCTGCTTAGCGAATTCTGTGGCAGCTCTATCTCTGCTTCATTGGTTTACCTTGCTTCAGACTCACCGAAAACGCATCAGGACGTGGTGCGGTCGGTGACTGCATGTGCTACCGTGCAGTGCGCAAAAGACGCTGATGAAGAGGAGTCCGGCTCCAATACAGCCTGTGTGTATCAGACCAAAATGTTGGTAAACATCGCTTAGCTAAGACACGGACAAGCGATGCTCTCCTTAAATGGTTTACTGCACCAAAAAAGACTACTGGAGAGGCACTTCATCTCCAATGCTGTGTGGTTTCTTTTTCCCCAACTTGGCGTACGTGTCACGCTTATCTCAAGATCATCCTTGCCAAAGGACAATAACAGAGTTACGATTCCTGCATCTATGCACACGCACTGTGCTGTTTGCTTTTTCTAGCTGCTTATTTTTACCATTTATATAGTCTCCCATTCATTGCTAATTGTGCGTAAGACGTATTCCGTAACCACTGTGTTTTATGACCGATGCAATGTTTAGGGATGCGTTTTATGATTGTTGTGAACCATTATAAGATTTTTGGCAAAGAAAAAAGAGACCAACCACACAAAATTATGCATTTACAAAAACATCCATAGAGAACAATCGTAAGTATTCCCGCAAAGCGTTGTATATCTTTTCGTGCAGATAATTGTAATCTCTGAGGTTTATATTTCGCAAAACTTGTGCTCAAACTAGCAGTATAACATTTTCAAGAAATAGACACACTCAATAGTCACGTGAAATACAATGGCACGTTTCCTAAAATGAATCGAAGTTACCACATGGAGACCATAACTGGGGCTAAGGTCTCAATGGCAACGCTTTTTGGGGATTTACGGGATCAGGAAAAAAATTAGCTCGAACTCTGCCGCCCATCCAAGAAGGCAGGTCATGTATCATCATGTGACTTGAAACCAACTATTGATAGTGATCTTTTCTGCACGCTTACAAAATACTAGATGAGCTCAAAAAAATGATTTAATCTTTTCATTGCTTCATTTCTGCGACAGTCGTTACATTGAAAGCTATCATTTTCCAAATAAAACATTCACCGAATTATATGGTTTAGTCCGTTGACTCGGCAATCTTTAGGTTCATACTTCTTGAGCCTGCAATCAAGAAAGGCCTGAAATAGTAAAGTAGGATGCACCTAATAAACTACAATAGTGTAAATGCGATTATTAGATGCGTATATATTTCCATGTCTATAGATACCTAAATAATAGCCAGATATCAGGTAGTCCAACGCTTGAACGTGCCGCTGCCAATATCAATATTATGAATGCTTGTGCAAGCCAACGGTAATGCGTATGAAAAATATAAGGTGATTGTTGTCTAGAGTACTTGGCTGGATAAACAACAGTCCTGGCTTCTGAGTGGCAGGTACATCGGAGTGCTCTCCAGCTCCAATCGAACGACGGCAACTTTTCGAGCAGCTGCTGCTGCCATGTGGATGTGCCAGGACGCGCCTACGCTCTCCTAACAGGTACTCACATCCGCTGTCACGAAGGTCTGTCTGACATCTTCGTTTTTTTTTTTCTGTCACTCATTAATTAGTAAAAGAGAAGACATCCATGTTGTTGAGTAGAATTCCCCACTCTCGATATTGCACTCTTCCAATTCGAGACAAGGGACCGTGTCGTTCGCTGGGATCGTATCTGACTCATAGGAGTGGATTGGGCGGGTCTTCACGGTGAAGCTGTCTGTTCGCTTATCAGTTGTACACTTCGTTCGTTCGTTGCTGACGAACGCTCGGCTGATGTCGAGCTTTACTAAGGTTAACCAGCCTCTCCATTCTATTTAGGTTGATCCTCTTGTTATGGTTAAGATGATCGCAGTACATGCTGACGAATTCGTTTCAACCCTATTTCCAAATTAGATATTAACGGATAGTAGGTGAGCTTCTGCCGAAAAACACCACCAGCAAGTCAAGCGTTTGCTCCGAGACGATTGCTTCACCAGTTGCTATATCATCCTTCGGCAGCAGCAAAATGAAGCTTATTGTCGATTTAGTAGATTTATCCTACCTCGAAAACGGCAGATTTTGAAGGTATTGTAACTTGCATTTTTAAGGTTCGCCGTCTCAGCATAGTTTACTTTGAAACTTTCCCACAAGTTGTTTTGGCCAATTTAAAATTTGAAACTTGAGGTAGGTAAGCTTAGTTGGACAAAGAGAACTTCCTTGGCGCCGAACCACTAATTTCAGTTGAAACGAAAGCACTATTGCGCCGCGACTAAGGACGGTTGTAGCAGAGTTGCCGTTACCACTTTTTTTTTTTTTTTTTTTTAGCAGTTGCGACTTTTCGATTGCGTACATGTTTGTTATTTGTACCGACCTCGATTTCTTCGAACTTCCTTCTAACGTGCACCCCAAATGTACTTTTACTGCGAACAATCAGTAAATTCGCTGACTAAAAGTACGCAGATGATCTTCGAGTAACGGCGAACTGTTGATCGCATCGTATACGGACTGATATTTCAGGATCATAGGTATTTTAGGCGCGATAAAAGCATCATTTTAAAATCTAAAATTTTATTAAATTAAAATTAAATTGAAATTCAGAGCATTTAAATAATCCTATTGAACTTTTCTGTACCTAGCCAATAAATGTCAATTCAAGATAAAACCCGTACGAGTAATATCATAAAATAGTTTATCTATGGTGGCTGTTCAGGATATTTAGTTGTCAATGGCATTAGTATGGACCGGATCGCTGCTTTATGGAGTTCTGCAATACAGTGACCGTCACTTTGCGTTTCGTATTAATGAGAAATATTTTTCGACGCTGATTTGGGACACAGTGACTGTCTGCTGATGATAAAGTATCCTCGCATCAATTGTTGTGTAGTATTTAAATCTATGCCAAACATAACTTCTGGTTTAGTTGTTCAACTTTAAGGCTCTCCTGCTATGCCTTTCTGGTATGCCAAATTTCCATATATCCTACCTAGTCGTAGTGCTAATTTGTTGTCGACAGTTGAAAACAGGCCTAAAAAAGATGAGATCATATATTGAGCTCACCTAGAACGTTTTGTTTTGGGTAATTTTTGGCTGTTGGCATTTTTCGAAGGAGGTAAGCACTAATCGTATATGAAAAATTTCCATAATCGTATCATTTTCGCGGCTGAAACCTGTTTTTGTAAGGGTTATCAATTGACGCTATACGTTGGACATTACGTCATCGTATCGGCAAAGAATAAAGGCACGATCAAGAGATAGACTCAAATATAAGTAAAAGGTATGAACTGTGGGTCGTTCTTCTATAAAAAGAGCTTCATTCTGTCATCAGTGTGACGCGTAGGAGAATCTATCCTGTGACACCCTGCGCGCAGTTTCAATGTTTAATACCATAGTTGTCGAGTTGTTGTTTGGTTACTTTTTTTGATTTTAGGTTTTTTTTCTAGCTCGTCTGTTAGGAGACAAATTGGCAGAAAATTCCTTATTGCTGTTTTGAGTTATTTAGGAGCGGCCTAAGTATGTATGAAGGTATCCTCCTTTCTAGCGGTGGGAATGTTCGAACTAACCATGACTCGTTCGAACAGAAACTATAGAGCGCGGTCAGGTATAATCGGCTTCTATAACAATACGACCTGTAGATGATCATACAGCTCTGGTTTTGATGTTTTCAAATGAACACCTACAGGCTTCGAACAGCGCAAATAAGTACTCTTCAATCTTGAATTTTGGCCTCGAGTATGGCTTAAACTAGCTATTAAGATAGTACGATTCGTTCTACGTTATCGTCAGCTAGATCGTCTTCTCGCAGTTACAAGCACGAGAACGTTCTCCGTAACGTTATCTGATTCTGTGACGATCTGCTACGACAAACGTTAGTTGTACGTGGCAAAAATGTGCGCTCTCTACTTCATTGGCGATGTAGTGCATCTACCCCGCCAGTGCTTGAGATACATAAACGAAACTTTATCTTAGCGTTCTTTTACCGTTTCTCTATGAAAATACGCCTCATATTATTCATAATATCATTTTAGAGACACGGAACTCAAACCCGATCATAACCAACCGACGGCTTTCCTGTGCGATCATCACAGTAACAAGCAACAGTCTCTTTCTGCGTTAAGGACAAGCAGGTAAAAAACTTAAGTCAAACAGTTCCTGTAACCAATATTTCCTAAAAACAACAAACGTTATAACTTTATATATATACCTTCTGCAAAGCCCTATATATATATATATATATATATAGGGCTTTGCAGATGGCCGAATCGTACGATACCGTACCGTTAAAAAATGCTGAAAATTTCTCTAACAGTCATAGTTTTTTTGCCAACGCCTGGTCGCTATAACACTAACAGTACCGTTCCGCTCCCGCATTTGATGACAAAAGATCAAAACAATTTACGCCTTTTGCCAACCCAAATCTTTTACGATCAAATATTTAGTAGTCTTTTCTTGCTACCTCACACGTCTACATAATTTGGATAGCCTATTTATCCGGCTTAGGAAAAATAATAACCATACGTACTTAGCTAAATGAGAAAGCAGGCAACTGGGTGCGTTTCGATACCAGGGACACCTGGAAAGAGATATTTTCATTATACTATCATTGAATGTCTATTAAGAACCGTCCGTGTACTTTTGTGTAACGGCTAAATTATCTGTTCAGTTTGCACTCCAGAAGGTAAAGCACGTTAAACTCAATAGTTGAAAGTATCTGTCAGCGGAAGTTCTGACCTTCCCTATTCTTGTGGTGAAGATGTAATTTTTTCATCAAGGAATTACGTATTGTCTAATATCGATTGTTCGACTTCTGCAAAGATATCATTTTGCATTGATTGATACTGATGGATAACCCCCGAGGGCCAGTTAATTACGAAAAAGCCTACCCCATTGACTGGATGGTAGACGCCGACATGAAAATTCCAGTTCCATTCCATTGAACCAAAAGGGTAATAATACTTTTTTAGTAGTATTAGTGTTATCGGTTAGTTTTATCAGTCTTTATTTCTCTTAATAGTTACTCTTTTCTTAGCTTTTAAACACAACAATACACAGTACTCATCGTATATCACCAAATAAGGTGACCATTATTTTCGGCACTTGCGAGTCAAAGGGAGACTTCAAGCGTGGAATAGGATCACTGTAAAAATAAGATATATTTTGGGTTTTTAGATCTCACCGCAGCCGCACTTCCTAACCTAAGCATGGATCACCTTCAGCTGTACTTTTTTTCTGTTCATTTCAAACTTGTATTGTGATCTGGTAAAAACACTATATACTCTGATACCACGTCGTGCAAAAACGCGTCACATACAATTCGTCTTGACTCTTCCGGAGAAACAGATACTTAACAGAGAAAAAATTGCCACTTGTATCCAGTTTAGTCTCTCATAGCTCAAAATGAAAAAAAAAAAACATCTATTTAGCTCTATGTTACGATAACGATTTCTACAGTTTTTGTTTCTATTTACTACAAGTGACTGGGCTGTCTAAAAGACAAGTGCCGATCGGAGAAAATCACCATTCGCAAATGGGTACCCTCGTAAGTGTTTCACTTGGTACTTTTCTATAGTACCACTCTTACCTCGTACTGTCTAGTGTTCAATAGAAAAAGCCAGTATATTGCACTAGAGTCGAACTCCAGATTGCATTATGACATCCGCTTTGGGTCAGTGAGTTCATCAATACGAATGCTTGTCTGACCTTGAAAACGTTTTGCAGTTGGCAATGTAGAGTGACAAAAACCAACGGGAGGTAAACAAAAAAATCACCACGGTCTACTGTTGGTGCTGTGACTGCGGAAACTTCGCTTTTCGATCTGTTTCAGACATCCCTGTGACACGCAGGAAGAGCCGGTGCAGCAGCCGTTGGTACTCGGCTACCGGCGCTCGGTTTACCGTTGCTTTCGAGGTACCCTGAAAACAATGAGCAGTGTGACATTGTAGGAGGAAGCAGCAGCAGCAGCAGCAACAAATGAATGGCCGATCATTTACAGTGCGTGTACCGAAATCAGCTGTCAATAGTTCCCGCTGCCGCTGATTTCGACAAATATATCTACCCGTATCATTTTTTACTATAAGCCTGCTCAGAGAGATACCGACCAGCAGCTAATTGACATCGAAATAATAGTTAACCTTTCATCATTGTTGTTGTTCACTGCCTTACACGCGCACGCCTTACGTACGCCCCGTCGAAACAACGAGCCCGAAACAACGAGAGCTTGCTCAAAATCTCCCTGCCCATTTCCCTTTGAGAATGACTTTGTCGACAATTGTGGCCCAACGGTATATCTATTTAACTATTGCAATGAGCTATGTTATTGTACGCTGAGGCAGAACGAGCAACAACGTAGCTATGGTTACTAGCCCGACGGGACTTTGGGGTCTGTAGATCGCACCGAATGCATCGTTAATTGCAGAAGTTGCTATTTCATAGGTTTTTATCGTAACAGCCCATAGAATTTCGGCGATTCTGGGCCCTAGAGAAAAGAAATGGTTTCCCGCGTTCAATTATGTAAAAATGGTTTGCGAGAAAAGTTCATAACAATAGAACTACATAAATAGTGGTATTATTAGCAATTTTCCGAGTAAAAGGCCGCACTTGTACGCGCCTGAGAGCTCTGGATTTGTCTGTCATCTTCTCGCCCCTTACCCTGTACCAGATACAATCAGTGGGTAGTTGCCCCCAATTTACTGCGTTCATTACAGGTTTATCAGCCCTACGCGTATACATAATTTCTAAAGTATGAATCTATTATTGTGTTACCGAATCTGCTATGGTACAATAAAAAATTCACTCGTTATACTGATCGAAATGCACAGTTTTTGCATTTTGGATTTGTTCTAATATAACAATCATTATTCGCTAGGCACCCAAACATTAGCGTCATCAGAAGACTATAGACTGGACGTACATTCAGATCAGCATGCCGCCTTACGTAAACGAGCAGAACATTCGATTTCTACCATTACTTTAAATATCGCTCAACTTTACTAGACCTGCGTAATTATTCGCTGTCATCAGCCATACGTTTTTGCCTAGAAGGTAAACGTTTAGGCCGCCTGTTGTAGGCGTGCCATTTGCGACCTGCGATCGTTTTTGGCACGCGCGCGTTCGTGTCAGCGCGATAGACAGCTAAATGAACTCTGTCATCATGCGACAAAGCTCGTCGAACTCGGAACAGATCGAAGGCAACAGCTTCACCGATAATAGTTCTAAACTAGAACGTTCACTATCTCGTTCCATATCTTACGAATCCGTCTTTATCTTCGCTCAGTTTTTTTCAATTGATATGTTGGACTAGCTGCTGCACTTCTCGATACTGTCACACCCATTGGAAAAATAGAAACATGCTGGGCTAAGCTTTTTCTTGTTTTTAGGTAGAAAGTATAGCTGACTGGGTGTCCCGTACCGAGCGCATTTCCTACTCGACGAAACGTTTCATTCACACCACTGCCCGAACTTTAGCATCGGTAATAACTCTCCGAACGCAGAAATTGACAATGGTCCGTCGACGAGATAAGGTCTCCGTTCTTGTCGCGAACGGAGCGACACAAGGTTTTTTGATAGCAGTCAGCGCGACAACTATTGATAGTTTTACAGAAGTTCTGTGGGTTTGAACGTCTGCTGAACGTCTAATGATTATGAGATGATACCATCGACCAGATGTCCCTATTCCACATGATGATGATATTTCCCATGTCAGTTAAAAGGTTATCTATTAAAAAAAGTAGAGCACTTTAACGAAGTTGTTATAAATAACTTTCAGTAGCGGCCATACCTAATTCTGTCGTTATTAAGAAGTTGTTGAAAACACACCAAGTTTTTCGGCATGAGGAGATTACGGTTGTTTCCTAGTGCCAGCGGGCGGGCATGCCTATTCCGATCCTGGGATAGAAAAGGATTTCCGCTTTATACAAAGCTGAGTTATCCGCTATGAAGTCATATCCTTTCATTTGGGTTAGCTGTAACCCACGAGTGTTACATCAGATGGGCGTCTTATAGTGGAGTTGCCTGTTTTTGTATCCAATGTCCGCCCTCTGATTTCAAACAGTTATCTTTGGAGGAGTATATTCCTCTCCTTGCGTTACGCGATCTGTGTTGTTGCATTTGCCCTCTTTATTCTTTCACAGACGCACGTGTACCGCGAGCAGAGATTGCCACCAAATTTCGGAATAGTTAAAGGAACTTTTGAGAGCACTAGAGCGAAAAATAAATCTTGTATAACATTTTCATTGTCCTTTAAAACGGATGCCTCATTAGCTCGATCCTACACCCAAGTAAAGGGAGTTTTAAAATGATTGTGAATTGAAGCAGTTAGGCCAACGATTATCTCAGTTATTCACCCCTAAATATTCAAAATCGACAGCGGGCTTCTGCTATTTCCACAAGGCCAATATAACATGTGACATTTATAGGTTTCCCTCAAAATCGTTGTTATTTCAACAGGTTGGTCCTCCTGAAAAAGCCTATTTTACCTCTAGGTAGCAAAGGTTGGGTGGCATTTAAGCAAGATGTTCACAAAAAAATCTACTGACGAAGAAGATTACTCCCATTTCATGCTGGTATAAAGGTCACACTTCATCTATTGCTACATCATTATCTACAAAACGATGGTTTACAGGAACCTTTCCGTCAAGAAGTACCTATAGCACAATCGCATATGTTCACAAAATTAATCACAGTTCGGACACATTTTCCTCCTATGACGAATAACCTTCTTCATTCTCACAACTTGTGCTGTACATGGGACTTGAGGCAATAGCCATAGGGGGTGACGCTCAGAAATGAACAAACTCACTGGACAACTGTGAAAACGGAAGAGCTAATTTCAGGGTTTTCTCTAAGGACTTAAAAATGTAAGGCATAACAACGCGCCTTTTTCTATTCGACCTTCATTCTTTTTAGTAGTCAGTTTCAATAATTGCAAACTTATCTATTTTGTATATATCTTTACCACTTTGACTCCATTTTGATGAAATGAGTCGGCGTATTCGAACGAATGTGGCAACTTTGATCCATAGTTAGTTTATATATCGATAACTGCCTGGGAAATTGTTTGATTCCTAAAAAAATACAATAACAAATAAATTTCACAACGATGTGCCTTTAAGTTTCCGTAATTTAAAAAAAAACTTGGCATTCTTATGCATGTGGTCAATTCTTTGGTAAAACACATAATTTCAATAGATCGATATCGCACTCTGTGCCTTCTTCGATCCTTCGTGATCTGGCCATCATCCCGGTAATCGTTCGACATCTTTATGTCACCGACTTATCCAGTTCTTACCTTTCCCCACAAATTCGTAGTCCCTAGTCTACACAAAACCAATCTTTAAATACACTTCGATCAGTCAAAAGAGAACCTTTGCGTCTTGACAATGTCAATCTCCCCAAATGGATCTCCATTTAGTGTTCAGAATATGGAGGTTTAACTCTAAACGCTAAGGTTAGGTTTTTCATCTCGTTTGCGCATCAGAGATTCTAGATAACAAATCTCTACCTAGAAATCTAAATAGAACTAAAGCTTCCCACTGAAGATGATGTTTCGTGCTGGCCGGAACGAACATCCGTTGATTTATCAAGTGGCTGTCGAAGCGCGTAGGAAAGAAGAGTAGATAAAGAATAAAGGTATGATGAAGTCCAACATAGAAATAGCAGGCCTACCGATATCTTTCGCGCAGAGTCTTTAAGTTGAGTACGAGTTTTCCTACTCAAAAGAGATGAACGTAGACCATAATTTATATTAGTGACGATTCGCTTCTATCGGTTTACGAAACAACTACATTAGAAATTTATTGAAATCTAAATGATATTGCGTTTCAGACTGGTCGTTTCTAATTTCTCTAAATTACTGTTGGCAACGCTCAACAGTCGTCGTAGTAGCGCAGTATAAAGTGATGCACAAAGTCTATCTGTGTAGAAAAAAAAAAAGGTTAAGTAAAGCAAAGATACCTGAAAGCTTTTTGATGCTTTCGAGAAGGAAGGCTCCAACATGTCTAGACATGTCGGAGGTCTGATTTCTACAAGTGAGCGGAAAGTGTGAGATGGAAGGCGTATAGCTTGTACACTCTCTTCAGTAGGGTCGTGTCACGCTGTAAGCATAGTCGGAAAAGGCTGTCTAGCCTTTACGGCGCCTACTTACTCTACCAGGACCTAGTATCGGAAAGCCGGGCGGAGCTTCTATGTGTGGTAGAAAAAAAAGTTCGATGGAGAAGGATATTAGAATGAAACTGGAACGTTTACCATTCATTCAAGAGGTTTCACCAGCATGAGTTACTTTTTACCACGATGGTTGTTCTCGGTCTGTAAAACTCGTTTATCCAGAGATTTTCCGGAATTTAAATTGAAAATATATGTGGCCATAGTCGAAATAATCTCTTGCTTTTGCTCGTTCGCAGTGTTTTCAACGTCTCGATAAAGGGCACCAAGTTCGTATTCTACTCACCGCTGAGGTCTTTTGGTAACGACAAGACAAACCATTTTTAGCGTTTTTTTGACCGTGGTTGAAAAATTGAACACGGATATTTAGCATAAATCGCAGCCATTTTTTTTGAGAACCAGAAAAAAAAAACCAGCAGTTGACCAGTCAATTGCATGACCTCGAAGTAAAAGCATTGATCTAGAAGATCCCGATTTTTCGATTCTAATTTTACCAGAGAAATCACCATTAAGAGACAGCAGCAACCTAAAAAGCGTTGATTTTTAAAAATTGTGTAAGTTGACTGGTCATTAGTTAATCGGATATCAATGCTAGTTCCGGTCGTAGCTTGTTAGAAAAAAATCACCAGTTAACGTATTACTAGCACACAAAAAAAGTGTATTAAAAAATACACAATCGAATACAGGTAACACAATAACGACATGTATCGCTAAAGTACCACAATACGGTAATGAATAGATTGGCCAGCACTAACATGTGACCATAACTTTTATTACAATGTTTCATCTGATGTCGTATTCGGCCCAGTCAGAGATCGGTGCTTTCAGACAGAGTTCGCAACAAATTTTGATCAGCCGTCCAACACATGGAATCGATACCACAATCGCCTTACGCGGACCCTTATTACAGAAACAGAAAAGGATAGCACAGCGATTAATCTCATCTCCAGATACAATTTTTCCAACAGTACCATCAACAACGATAAATAGCAAAAGAACAATACCAAATAACGATAATAAAAAAACGCACATGTTACTAAAACCAGATAGCGGCAGGAACAGTGACGCAGCATTAACTGACTGTGGACGCGAGTTAGTTGGTCGATCAGCTGCACGACAAAACGATGCCTGTCCGCACCGCCGGTGTGGGTCGCTGCACGTGCATGTAAGCGTGCAGTACTTCGGGCCGTTCTTGCCCAGCCTGTCAATAATACGTCATGAAATTGTACATTATTTTATTATACGCATATCGTTCGACGAGCAACCCTTCATATCGATGGTGATAATGGCAGTGATCATAATAATACCTTATTGTGATCTTCGTTCCCCTCCTCTGCCATCGCTAACCTGTTTCCATCGAAACGACTTCGATTGAAGCGACGCGTTTGTGATTCTGCTGCGACGTGATATGTTTTATGAGTATTCGGGTATTATTGGAACACGATGACGATCGTTTGTTTGAGTATGGAAATGTACATAGATAAATACAGGGCGGAGAGGGCCAACATTTTCCCCGAAGTTCAGTGAAGAACTGGTGATAGAATACGGACGAGTAATAAGAAGTGGCCAACGCAAGACTTTAAGGTTTGTTTTGTAATTATAGTCGTCGGTAGTATGTTAGCTTATATAGGTTTGCAAAGCTATGCATTCCCAATGGCGCAATCATTCAGACTATAATATACATATTAAATATGTGATTCGTAACAACTACGTAAGTTCCAGTTAACTTAGAAAGTGGAAGCTGATATATTAGCGCGATCCCGGTAGTACTACGCTGACATGAAGCAGTTGCAGCGATGTGGACGGATACAAATGAAAACGAAAAAAAAATGTCGTTCACGGGTTTCAAAGACGATACTTTTGCTACCGAAACAATTTTGATGCCAAATACTGTCCGTCGTATTGAGATAATTAAAATTTGTTCCGAATGTATATGGAAGCATGTGTAATATTGACAGAACTTGTGGAAACAAGATCTGATCCCTTAAAAGCTGGTTTGAATTTAACTACCTTCAAATTGAAGAAAACCTACAATCTACGGCCAACATTTGAAGATTGCTCATTTGAGGTCCAATAAACAGTTCCACAGGGCAAGATGCAGATAGCGGTCATCGATTCGCGAGTGTCTACGTTCTGAAATTGTCTGACGTTGTTACCAATCGGCGTCCCTTTCATGTCAATATGATAAGGCACTTGCCGCTGATTCCAATCCTAAAAAAAAGTAGCACCGGCAATTGTGGCTCTATTACAAGCTAAATTCTTACCTTAACCCTTGGTTTCTTGATATTTTCATTTTTCAATTTTGGTCGGACGATAACATAAACGATATCTCTGGATGGTGCTTTTCTAGAGACGTTCCTAACCCTCACTGACAGCCATATCAAATGAATCGTCGATCTAAAGGGACATCCAACAAAAAATAATGGGGGACCGTGTCAGTCGCGATAAGCGCGTATACTTTGTATATTTGCGAGCAAATACATGTAACAAAAGAGATGCTGATCTACGTTAGACAAATACGTTCTGTGGGTTCATTGTCCTTCAACTCGCTACATAGTCAAGGACGCTTCGGGTCACTATAATGTAACATGCACTAATCATTATTAAGAATATGTGTCAAAGTTGAGAATTTGAAAACGTTCTAAATTTCGTAGTTTTCACTTGTATACCAGGGGTTAACGAATGATACGTTACGTAAGGACGACGGCAAAACAGCAGGTTAAGGAAAGGCTCGATGTTACATCAAAATAATGGGGCACTGTAAGGACTTCGGTACAGAACGATCTAAACTAACCTCTTAGAATGAGTTCCCCCCTTTGTTAATAAAGTACCCCCACATATTTCGTCAAACGATTGGTTATATATGAGTATCATATTTTCAAGCAGATGTTTAATTCGCCTTACCAATGACCTCTACGCTAAAAAATTGCTCCGTCTTGTAATTAGAGTATACATTATTTTACAATTACATATTGTACAACTTAAACATTACATCCTAAAACTCTCTGGCAGTAGGGCAATGCTAGCTATTAGCAATTAAAATATCAGTGAACCACAATGGAGCATTAGACATTTTTTACGAGTGATTCCCAGAATCATATAGTAAACTACATTTTATTCAACGCAAGCAGATATTTGCATTTCAAGATCCTTTGGCCTATCCTCAGCCTGCAGCGTATCAAATTCTGACCCTGAAGCCCTTTTGTACATCACTACGCAGGCCATGGGATGGTTGAGCTTGTTTCGCAGCCACGCATTCTAGAGAGAGTGTCTCTCCAGCATGGTCGACATACTCATACAAGTTACCCTCTCCTAGAAGTCTCTCACGCATATTCGACGTGCACGTAATGATCAATACGGATGAGATGAATGGTGCACGTAACGATCCATAGGGATGAGATCAATAGGGGCCGTAAGTAGAAAAATTCTGTTCACGTAATTATAGCTCGTTCAACCACTGCACAGCACAGATAGTGACCACAATATGCTTAAGCTACCCATTTCGTTTGTCTTCGGCAATTCACTGATATGCTTAACACTCTCGTTTCTATTCGCTTAATTAGCTATAATAGTGACTGCTCAAAGATATCATCACGAGAAGATTTTAATTGAACGATCTTCTCGTTCACTTCTCAGCTTCGCAACGTACGTATAAATGACGAACTTACATATGTACAAGGGAATGATCGGAGTTTATCTGATGATTCTTTAGATAATTGCAGATATTATCTCGATGATTTTAATTGATATCCGTATTTTTCTAGTTTAATACGTGTTGACAATTCATCCAGCATTCGTATCGAACAGCCTTCAGATTAGGCTCATTCGTAAGAAGGTTCACTTTTTTTTGTTTTTTCATAGCTTTGAGTATATCGGATTGAAAACAGATCCCTCTTCTTCGACCTGAACGTCAGCTGTTCGATGTTATTTAAGAAGTTGTTTGGACACATACTATTTCCATAGAGCTTTGTCTACTGCTGGTTGGAAACGAGTTAGATGGTTGTAGCACACCCCGACTATCTTTAATGAGTGATCATTGCTTGTGATGTCTCTTGCGCTAACTCGCTTGCTAGGCGCCGTAGTAGAAAGCCAGTTTTTGTGAGTTTAACAAAGTGCTAAGGCTTTCATTAGGTACTTTGAAGCTCAGACTGTTAAAGCGCTAAGCTTTTCCAAGAGAGAGGATGACCGTCAATGCGATCGCCTCCTATCCTATTATGTAGCCTTCAATACTAATGGATCCCGCTGGGAGATGAAGCGGCTTCTTGAAAGGTATCGGGACTTCGTTTAAGTTCATCTAGTCTTGATGTTCGGTTTCATTTTCCTGGAATAACGATAATATCATGACTGCTTCAATTGGCTTCTGTTATTAGTGAGTCACTTTTCGCTCCCACCAACATCATTTCTGTTCAGTCGTTATCTCTGATTCTACCTTCACTGAAATGAAAAACGGCCCATAATATTGAAAGTGCTATAAATTCGTTTGTAAATATTTAGCTTTGTTCTTAGTGAAAACCTATGAATATTCGATTTCATTTGTATACTATTTCTGTTTTGCGACTGACGTAAGTCTGAGCCGATCCTTGTGTTTATAAAAGGCTATAGTTTTTGCGTCTGAATCATACTAAATACCTGTTTAACATTATTGGATTTCGATAATAAGCACCTGTTGTATATATAGAAATGCGTAATCCAAAATTTCAAAACCAGGCGCGAAGTACACATTTGTTTCCTTTCTGTCCTGACCCTTATTATTCTCGCTAGCTTACAAACGTATATTGATAGAGCCACGTACATTGAAAGGATATGCTATTCTTCAACACCTAACGATTTCTAAATCTTCGCAAACAGAGTGCATTGGTCAACAGCAGATTAGATTAGGATACCGGCGTGCTGGAATAGATCTAAAAATAGAGCTCTACTCAAAAGGCGATACTTGTGTAATTGGCTTGTTCATCGCTTCATGCTATCTACGATGGACAGGACGTGATACCCTAAAAATTACGCATACACTCCGCTAGAACAAGCGTTCGTTATGTGTTGAGCCCAGCATCGTTGGCAATCCAATGATAAAAGGTCCTTCAGTGGCATATTACGGTCGGTGTAAATTAGGCAGGCACTTCTTATGAAACCAGCGTCCTTAAGCCTCTTTTTTCAATCCAGCCATGAAATCCCCCCAAAGCAATAAAAAGCTGAGCAAATATAAGGCGATTATATTGAATTCCTCGGCTGACGCAAATCACAAATTCATTGACCATTCATCGGGCCGTTTTCACCTCGTTTCAGACTTGTAGACGACATGGAGCTTCCATTGCTAAAGAACCTTTAGCAGTAATTGCCTTCAACGAAGATAAACAAGGACGAACCTATTTTATGTTCACTAGAAGTTTTACCTTTTTTTTTTTTACACCACACAGCAGGCTCTCGGAAATGGCTGCCATTACTCCTGAATGAAAACACACTATGTTTGTACATGCGACGGTGACTACTTGTACCGAACACAGTCGTCTACAGATGAATGAATAGTAACGATTGCCTTCAGTTAGGTCTTAAATCGCATACAACTGTATGCTTCATAAGCAAAGTACATATTTATATGATAATGGTACGTTTCCTCACCGAAAACCGTCGGCAAGGTTTTGATTATTATTTTTTATTTGTTTACCCTGATTGCTGCCTAGGCATAACTTGATATCTTCACTCCGTATAGAAAATACAAGCTGTGAGAAGCTTTTTTGTGTCAAGCGGAAGATTTTTCCCGTCTATCCAGACACATTCATTAGTAATGCTTATGGCTTTGCGTATTTTTCGTGTCTGCTCTGACACTTCTAGAGGTGCTAGCTAAAGCTGATCTCTGGCTTTTTTTTCCTATCGACTTACATAGTTATTAGCTTTCCATTTGCGTCACATGATACGTCCAGATCCTCTTTTCCTATTCGAATTTCTAGACCGCGTATAAACTTAAGCTGGATTAGATGAATCATATCCTCGGATAAGCTAAACACAACTACTACACAATTCTTGTAAATAATACAAGTTATTTAGTTAAATATTTTACGGTTGAGATTAACTATAATAAAAGGAAGTGATAGAGGCTGTTTCTGTTCTGTTATATAGCTAATAATTATATATAAGATAACGAGATACAGGAAATAGGAATCAGCAGCGTAATGTTTCCTTTGAACACAGATTCAGATATATAATTGTTTATTATGTTCTAATTATCGTTGCCACCAACAAGACATAGAAGCTTTAGTGCCACGAAATTCACGCACATTCTATTTTATATCTAGATAGATACGAGATAGAAAACTGATCATGATATGATCCGACTGCCACGCTAGATACTGCTGATTTGAAACCACTAAAAACTAGCTAAAACCAGCTAAAAATGTGCACGGTATCATTTACCATGCGACCTTCCATTAGAAAAATTGATGAAGAGAATTGAGTGAGCTAGTATATAATCCCTATTGGGGGGATTCAGACGCAGGATTGAGGAAAATTCCTTTAAAACTCTTCTCACAGCAGGACCTCTTTAGACAAGGTTCCTTCGTTAAAGAAAGAGGTTGGAACAAAACTGCCTCTGATGTCATAAGATGCTGGCGGTGCCGCTTGTTAAACTCACAAAGGCATTTTCTCATTCAGAGGGGTGTAATGAATGATGATCAGCTATTAGTGGCAGCGCAATGGGCGGCTGAATGCTGGACTGGTGACACGTTAGGACCAAGAAAGCGACACTCCCACTTCCTCGGTGTTGGAAGCCTCTTAAGGGGATAGGGGTAGTGGGCGCAGGGGGTGTACGGTCACTCCGCGGTGCAAATGAGGTAGTGTCACCAGCCACGCGACGTAGCCAGACGGTTACCGCTCTGACTTTGCGTCAATGATGAAGCTATATAGTGGGGTAAAGAAACTTCTTTGTGAAAACGCATTATGTGAATCCTTTATTATTCGAACGTTCATTATGTCCTTAGCGCCGTTTAATTACCAAAAGCAGGATATCTTTTCACGTTGTAGCTTATACTGACCATTTTGCAACCTTTAAAAATTAACTATGAGGTATTTTGTTGAATGGCCTATTTAATAAGAAAGAAAATGTTTTGAGTCTCATGTAAGGTACAGTTTCGGTCAAGAATTTGTCCAGACGACATACTATGAACTAAGGCGATATAAACTATTACAGCATAAATTTTCTTCAAAATCAACAACAACAAACATTTACGATTGTTTCCATAAGCATTGTATAATGGCCCCCTACGCTAAATACATTAAAACGGATATGGAGTCGGCTATTTATAAGATGCATCTTGTTTACGATGTGAATCATTTGTTAGGCTAGCTAACCTATATTTTGCATTACTGTTTCCATTTGGGCAGCAGTTCAAGTGGACCTTAGTGAAATCAGAAAAAAAAATTATTGATTTTTTACTGATGATTACGTCATAAACGTGACGTATTTCCTGTATGGCTGATACTCAAGATCCTTATTGTGACGAGTGTATCGTTCTAGATCGTGTTACCCATCGCTAAGTAATAAGCAGCTCGCAAAGAACATAAACATATCAGAATGTCCTTATTGCCAATATATCGTCGCTCTCGACGTTATCCGCGCAGTTCTTCTCTTCATGTATGTTGCTCTGATTCTGAACAAACTTTTGGTTATGTAGGAAACAATAGTTTAATCGTAACTTGGATATTTTATGGTGAAGTGACAAGAAAGCATCTGAAATAAAAGATGCTTTTCGCGGGCTTTGTCAGCACTCGGCCCTCCGCTCGCCATTTCTAACTACACTTGACGGAGCTCTATATATTCTACTATGTTTACACAATCGCCGTGCCGAGCTTACAACATTTAGTATGCCTAGTGGTTTTTGCCCCACAAATGTTATTTAAGCCCGTACGATCTAGACGTGAGATGTGTGTAGTAAGAAGGCACAGCGGCATCATAAATGCGCCTATTTCGAATATATATATATACACAACTGTGTGACCCATTCTGTTGCTACTTTGATTTTGTTAGTATAGCTTACGGCGGGTTCTTAAAATAGAGTGAACGATGCGCTGATCTGTTAATTTACATCTTAGTAGAACGTCCTATTTCGACAAAGAACTTTGCTAGAGATTACTAAAGAATTCGATATTATGGACAAGCTTAGACCAGATAATATTGCTTCTTTTTTTTTTTATCACAGCGACTGAGTGATTATTTTAGCATTTAATAGCTACCGATAGCGGTGCTCGGATCGAGGCCGATTATGTAAGTTGTCTTTTGACTAAAACGCATTTGTTTAGCGTTCTATATGATATTATTAAAATGAGCATACAGTTTCACAGGCCCTGCTCCCATACCTTAACGGATCAGTCTACAAAAGCCAAGTGTAACTGCTTATATAAATAGCAAAGTCTGTCAGCACGAAGATCGAAACCTAGTTCCCAACAATGACGTCCCCTATAGAACTAAGATAGAGGCATCTGTTTTAAATGGTCGATCTGATTTACGAAAAAAAGCTGGTTGTCCTGTACTCGAAATATTGCCTCTTCGTTCAAGATGAAGGTGGCATAAAGTTTTCAGTCGAGTTACTCGATCGTTGTAGGTTCAGTTCTTAAATATATGGCTTCATCGTCCAGATTATCCTTTCCTCACAAGTAGGAAATCCTTCTTTGTTTAAACGAATATTCGTTTCCATGCAAAATAGCTTTTGTAAAAATGTGAGCACTTTGCGTTGTACTGCTTGAGGCTTCCATGAAACCCACAGTGACGCGGTCTATGCCTACCGTCTTCTCTAACCACGAGAAGTAGCAACATTTCAATGAAAATAGTGAAGAACCCTTAAGGCTACATAAGATAGAAGAACACATGCATTTCTATTGCGATTTTGGGCCTACAACTGAGCCTGCTTAGCTTGGTTAGCTGGGATCTTCCAGTGCCACTGTTCTTCGGAATAGCCCGATGAAGAGGACGGACCCATGATACATACCATACATTACAATAAGTCAATGCGATGTCGACACGGAGAGTTAGCTCGTTTCTCCAGCACTATATAGAAAGCACTACTCGAAGCGATAATGCAACTTAAGTTAAAGAAAAAATAATTAACAAACATTCTAACCTCAGAAACGATCCTCGTGCCTAACCTAAAATCGTTAAAAACAAGCGTCACTCTAAATCTATTCAATTATTTGAAGAGAACAGTAAAATTTTCAATGATTCCATAATACTGTAATCCATTTTCGCCGGCTACATGCAAGATACATGCATCAAAACAAAACATGTCAAGTAAAATAATGATTTTCCATAGTTTACATTGTGTTTAGCCGGAACCAAAATTGTAAACTCATTAACCGACACGACAGTTTAATAGCAGTGTATCTATTATTAATTATATAATTAATAGTAGTTGTAATATCATCGAAATACATATCTGAAATATGGAGAACGTGGCTAAAAGCGCACCCTATATTTAGGTGAACGCGTCCACTCATCATAGCTCCAAACAAAGAAGATAATTATTATCTACTACAAGGTGAGAACTTATATCACACTCTCGCTTCATTCATCCTCGAACCTGCGATTGCTTCAGGCGACACTTCCCGCCTTCACACGCTATCCTTTGTGGATTGCTCAGGTACAAAGAGCAGGTGACTTCAGGTGAAACAACACGATGGTCGTGCGGCCAGTTGTCCGCTCTTCATCGCATCAGAGGGGGCAGGGGGGGCAGGTCGCGTTAGAATAATGATCCCAATTAACTCACAGGAGATTCTTGTTCTCAGTCATTACAAAAGGCTGGGGTATGTTCATATCAGCTAAACATATCATAAAAGATCTATCTGACGAGTATATAGGCATTGACGGACGGCACTGTCAACTTCCCACCAGCCGGCTGAGATGTAAAATTCCCCCAAAAACTGCGGACGAATGAAATGATATACAACAGAGCAAGACGACAAAGGAGAGACCCAGCCTCTACCAGCTTGAACTACAGATGCGTGAAAATTAACTAAACTTAAGCTGTCGAATAATGGGGCGCGCCAAACAAAAAAGTTAAAAAAAATAATGTCATCGGCATAATAGCAATCGTAGAGATGACTGCAGCACTTCTTTTTGTCCAGCTCGTTGCAGCAGACCTTCTGTGTCTGTTTCGCACTGACGAGTATGATTTTTTTCTATCATGTGAGTATCTATAGAGAAATTCGTGATGGAGAAACTGGTGAATAACGTATGTTTATCATAAACATTTTGCCTATCTACAATTTTTGTACACCAATGTTTGTCAACACGATGATTCGTTCGACCGTATACTAACAACACGCTATCATTTTATTCTCAAAGATTATTATAACCTTATATGAGGGCCATCGATTTGCAGGAAAAACTAAACGAAATAACGAACCATAGCCACGAGACCGCCAGAGACAAAATCCCGATCTAACATTTGCTCTTTAGCGTGTTGTGATAGATGTGTACGTGTACGGTAAAATCTAACGATTATGAATTCTCAGTGTTATAGATGTAAACTAAATCCTATTTTGTTAGTGGAATGAACACTTCATGCAATGAGACCAGTATTGCAGGCTGCCCGAGCCGTCGAGCTTCCTGATTCTCATCGAGAACCTCTGTAACATAGACTTCTGACGCAACGCATTCGAAGTTTACGAACTTCGTTAATACAACGTCCTTTGACACTGCAGCAAAATACGTTTTTCGATGTTGGGCTCAACGATCTTTGTCTTCAAAACAATTGTGGACGACTTCCTGCTGATGTTTGAAAACCCAGCAGCACCACGAGAACGTTTAACTTGGCAGCTCGTACCGTTAATAAAATGAATAATTAAGTTAAAAAAAAATGTAAAAATCTTCAATACAGATATATTAAAAGCTTTCTTTTTTTAACTAAAGATTGTAGTTTAACGCGCATTAATCACGTACAGCGCCTACGATATCAAAGCAATTAGGTCACCCAACAAACAATGGAAATTTTCAGACAAAAATAAGTAATAAGCAAGCAAGCATCTTCGAAAAAAATAGACACATATTCGGAGTTACTATGAAAATTTCAGGCTAAGAGATAACAGCCAGTAGTCCTGGTTCACAACAGCAGGAGGCCCTAAATACGCGAAAGTTTTTATGTTCACGAACACAGGCATACACATAGAACCTATTTCCGCTATCACAACTTGAAGCGCTGGCGAGATTTTACGGCGGGACACGTATTGTATACGCTATCTAAGTATGTTAATAACAACATCGTGTTTTCTTTGTAACTGTTGTAAAAGATAAAAAAAATGTAAAACATAAATCAGATACATTTGCCACAGTTGTATCTCTTTAAATTATCATCTTAATTTAAATCGTTTACGACCGGGCAAACATTTATTCTTTATCATACAATGAAGCGAATCTAATAAAAGAAGGAAAGAAAAAATTATCCACGGCAAATTTTCGAAAACTTCAATATAAATGATCTAAGATATACGTTTGTTAAACATTTGCTGGCCGTATTTAGTACCACAAATGTGTATTGAATGAAAAAAAGCCACACGCTTGTAAAAACTATAGGTTTTCGTTTTGACGGAGAACGAGATCCTACAGAAGCAGAATTTATATGCCCAGCCAATGTTTCGAAAATGCTCAAGCCGTATCTAGGCACTCGAAATGAATGTCTGTGGCCTGGATCACTCGCACTAATAGCCTTTAAGGGGGCTTCTGCAGCTAAAAAAAATAAACAACAGGTCCTGTGCATGGGTAGTGGTCGATATTATATATCTTAATTCAAACTTCGAAAAGAAAGATGCAGGTACATATAGGTTGGTTAACATTCTGAGGCATTATTCTTGTCTTGACTAGAACAAGCCGCTTCTTAGACAAAACAGTCGTGAAACGGAGCCAACATTGGGATGATGAAATAGGCAAAGTAAAATAGGTGAGCAGCGCAAAGCTTGTACGAAGTAGCATGTAGATGCCCTCTTCTTTTTAACATGTTACCGTGTAGATCCCGTCGTGTAAACCCTACTTCTAGATATTTGCCGTAGCAGAGTGGGAAGTCAGTGTTTTCTTGGGACAAAAGTACTTAGCAAGGTCACACCTTTTCCTGTCCTTAGTCGTACGCCTGAACTTGTTTTAATACGCGTTCAGAGGAGGATTAGCCTTGTCCTTTTGATCTTGATTTTTTCTATACGCTTGAGATATAGGTATCCTACTATAAAACTGATACACGAGCAAATGAAGGTTTCACCTGAACATTCTTCGTTACGAAAAGGCACCTTTAGATCTATTCCAGCGTTGTACCCATTCCACTCTTAACGGCACAAGCGCGTCCCAAGACGATATGGGAACGACATAGTACTTGATAATAAATACAAAAACGAGCCACGTAGCTCTATAACACCTGCTCGGAAGTTAAAATTCGATGCGTTGAAATCTCTGATCTTAGCTATACTATTCATCAATTTTTATCATAGCAGAAAATACACTACGTATCCACCTTGAAAAAGCTATCGAACTATGTGTGAACAACAAATTTGCGTAGAATAGTTAGGCCCCTTAGCAGCGCCTTCGAATTATAGAAGAACAAACTTTTGGACAATCAAGCCCGTAAATTATTGCTAAGTTAACTGCAGGAGTGAATACAATTTCAATACTTTTCCAGCACACGTCCGAGTAAAGCAGTATTTACCTTGTGATAGTTTGTTATCTTCGGTGGGCCTTATCGTAGTTCATTCGCTTTCTACGTTGCGTTGCTTTACCTAGGCTTAAATAGCAAATTAAAAGGCCAATACCAATAACGCTAACTTGTATCATTCGAAATTTCTAGGACCCGGCGATAGGATGTTACATGTTGGAAACATATTTGACCTGCGCGATGATTGATCATATTCCGCTCAATTGTATCTATATTAAACAATGTGTTGCGCGTCGAAAGCAAGCCAGAAGTGACTAACACCTGTACGTTGTTGCCTTTTTTCCAGACACCTGCAACTATGAAGCTTGGCTAAGTAGCATCGCGAACACAAATGCTTCCGCAAAGCGACGAGTCTTCGCTCTAGACAAAAAGCGGCCGTTTTTGTCATAGTTGTCATATTTGTAGGCTTCTTTCCTCGTTTCATCTAGTGATTTCACTTAGTTCCATACTGTTGTTTGGGCTAATTCAATTCCGTCCTGCTATATGAACACGCCGGCCAATTCAACTGTTGCAGGACTCGAGCACACTTTAGCACCTCAGCCACTTGATAGCTTGAAAAGCTTCAATGAAAGGCATCTTCCTTATGATGTGGGAGGAGTTAATAAGATCGCTTTCATACTTGTGGTCGCAAGGTACGTCAATTCACTAATGCTGTGCTGATACAAAAGAAGTAGATACCGGCTAGCATTTTTTTCCGGTAAGACAAACGATGATTTCTCGTCGTAGAAGTTAGGTAGTCTCAACCTATTTCTAAGGTGCCATTTAATCCTGTTCGACATATTGAAGTCTTCAAACAGATGGGTATCGCCGACTCAAATGCCGTGCAGCACAAGCTTTCATACCGGCATTCTGAAACCTATCAGGCCTATCTTCCTAACGAGGGGACACAGTTGAATGCTCAGTAGACTATATGGTAGCGCCCTAAAGCTCTACTATATTTCAGTTTTGCATCGTGCCATAGTAGTCATTCCATGTTGAAATTCTAACTTAGCAGAGAACTGTCTGACAAGTTTGACTGCGTTGATTGTAAGTTTATAGCCCTAATAAAAGTAAAAGTTTATGAGCAAATTCGTCTGCTCAGAGTTATTTATGTACGCCTGTTATATCTTGATATACATTTAAGTAACCGAAATGAATCACAAAACTTCCCCATATCCTTATTATTTTATAATCCAATCTATGATATGAATGCTGACGGAAGAAATTAAGAGGCCTTGGACGTGCGTTGGGTAAAGTTATAAAGGTTGGATTCTCTGACGAATGATTTCAGTGGATGATGAGGAGCCACTTACGAATTTCCGGCAGGTACAGGATGGACGAAATGCAAACAATTGAGCCCCCTTCTTTAAACAAGCAATGCTCAAGTTCATTCGCCGGCCATCTAACTCTATCTATCGAAACTACCGCTGAGCTATCTTTACTATAATAAATATCATTCGCTGGAATCATAAACTATTTTAGTGGTAGGTATCTCTTACAGTACAAAAATGATGAATCGACATTAAAACAAACCCTAATAGGCACATAGATTTATCTCATTTATATATTCCAAAGCTTTTAACTAGACCAGCACTACACGCCGTTAGTCGTGTCATTACTAAGTAATCCACCAAATAACACAAACCATGAAAAGTAAATGTGTCACTAATGAAGAAATTCAACGTTGGATCAATTTAACTTTTATCCAGTCGAGCTCACAGTTCGCGCGCGTTTAGTCATCGCGTTGCTATCGTAACGCCAGAGGCAGCGACCCCCAACGCCGGTGCCCTCAGCAACGGAGCGCTCATCCTGGTCAACACCAATGCGTTCTTCGTTTACATTTAGCGATTTTCGCCGCAGTGAAAAGTCACACCAAGCCTAAATCGGATAATGACCGAAACAGAAATCAAGCGGACAAAAAAAACAAACGAAATCGAATAAAATGCCAACAGGCAACACTATCGTGAATGTCACGACAATCCCATAATAATAAAATCCGCTAAAAGATAAATTAAGCTGACAGTTATATCCAATGGCGGTGGCGCTGGGGGTCTTATCCATAAGCGACAGTGGCGCTCAGCTACTCAGATGTACACAGCGACCGGAACGGCTCACACATCATCGACGCGTTCATCCATCTGTCGTTCGAACAAATTCGTAGGGCTTTATCAAGGGTTTACACTTTTAGTACAGCTCACAATATACGAAAAAGCGTCAAGCAACGTCCACAGGTGATGTATCATACATGATTGAATACCGTAATAAATTTATCAGACGACCGTTTTTATGCTAGACGACCTCAGCTTTTCGTCGAAAGTTCACATAATTATGCTGATCAGTCGAAGGCGAAACATTTCTGCACATAATATATATACAAGGCGCAGATCATCGAATAAGATGTATGGCATTTTTAATGGCACTTACAAAAAAAATTAGCCATTGAATTAGTAAAGCGTTACTTTCATGCGAAAAACGTTTATTTAATTGGACAGTTGCGTTTGGCTCACAATTGGTTGGATGATCCCATGCCACTGTGCTTGCTCTTCCGGAAGTAATCATCACCTTTGTCCTAGTAGACGGTACTGCGGGAATGTGCTATTTCATCACCCCCGACCGACGTTCGGACTTGGATGGCTGCGGGCGAACCGTGAGCTCTCCATTAATATTAAACACCGTACGCAAATGCGCAAAAAGACCTCTTCTGATATTAGTGGTTTATAGCTTTGTTCACAGCGGTGAGAATAGCAACGTTTATATATACGATCGACTTGATCAGACTACGTGCGTATTACTTTGTAAGAATATCAGTAGTCAGTACATATTTAACTTAGGGTAAATATAACTTTCGTACTATTTCAATGAAGTCGAGTAAGAACAAAGGAAACTTCACAGTACACCTTAAATATATTATATAAATGTACTATATTACAAATATGTTGTTTTGTCTTCGAGCCTGCGACTTCTAGAGTCCCTATCCCGCTTTAAGCGACGGAAATTCATCCTAACCGAGGTTTACTTTGAATTCAAAAGTATATATACTCGTACATGGTAAGCACTTTAAGAATCCCTTCGTCGGTTCACCTCATCGAACAGAATGAAGAATCGTTAACCTGAAGGATGTCCTATATTAACGGACCTATATATTTCAATATTCTCTTGTTTAGCGACCCCCTTCCCCCCTTCCGGGATGGCTAATATTTTTTTATATTGTACTGCAGCATACCGCAAAACACAGTCATTCAATACATTAATACTACTGCAATATATATATATATATATATATATATTAGAGTAGTATTGTAGAAAGGTATTCAGTCCAAAGCATTATGTAATCTTCCAGGTTATTTACCGATTTTTTTTCTAAGAACACAACGCGTATTTGCATTCGCACTTTTTTGGCGAAACCGTGCCTATTATGTGATTTTTTTGCCTGCATGATCTGCGGGTACCAGTGGCGCCTAAATTCAAAGAGAGCTTCTTTGAATAACGCTGACTACTTCGAAAAACATGCTCACAACACCGTCGGTTTATTTACTTATTTATTAAAGAGCTTCAATGATATTAATCGTATAAAAGCATTTCATGGCTGTCGGTAGAGCTCAAAGGATTTTATCTATCTCATTTTAGGAAAAACAACACATATAAATCAGTTTCTGCTTAATTTAGTGATACATTTTTTTCTGTTTTGAATTCGAGTGAATATCTCGTGCGTTATGGTGAAGGTTATCTGGCGTTTCGCTGACCTCCTGCTTGGAGGGTCGACTCCAAAATGAATTTCTGCGTTTTGGTTCGTCTTCGCTAACCATTTTTAAGATGGATTCCTTCGATTCGAATAAAGCGCATATTTCGACATGGCACTTTATTTATTTTCTAGGCGGACTGTTGCCTACTTTCGCTAGCGGAATAAAATAAAATTAAATTAAATTGTGAAGTCGTGACACACAGAAACGGGCTTTAAACGAACCTAAAATGTATCAAGTAGTTCAAATTAAAGGATACTTAAAACAACCAAAGCACAAGTTCTCGCAATATTTCATTAATAGGATCGTTCATATTTAGCTCGTATTCTTGTAACTTAAATAAAGCTAGGCACTATCAGCGAATGTAATTCATGACGCGGCAGTAATACGCGGACAAAGTGTAACGTGCTTTACTAAGTAAATTCATTAAAGTTTAGTTGTTTTTGATAATTGTGAAAACGATTGTTAAGGACAAACAAGAGCGAAGCACAACGAAAGCACTATAACTTATTATAGTTCCCGCATTTGGAAATTGCATGGCTGTCAGGCTGAATGTGCGCACCTCACGGCTTCCCAAGTAGTGTCCATAGCCGGAAATTGTAAAGCCGAGAATAGGCCAACAATAGTTTAAGCACTCTCTTCTATGTTTCAAATTTCCGGAAACAAAGCTCCTGTAATTATCTGTAGACACGTGTACGTCCTAACGTCCTGGACAATATTAGTTAATCCGAGACATTTAGGCCCGCATCAAATTCTAATAATTAAAAATGCTTATTCTAATCTGGGTAGCTTGCAACTGGCCTTTAACAAATCAAGGCCAAATTCCAATGAAAAGCCCATAGGAGCTGAGAAAATACTACTTTTAATGTAACCAATTACTATCTAATTACAAATCAAATACATTAACTACTGAATTATAAATATAATATCGACGTAGCCTCAATTTCTTATTTGTTGCTCTATTTTGATTTAAGTTATTAGCATGGTACGGTATTTAGCGGAATACTGTAACCAAACTTACCAAAACAACAAAATTATCTCTACGAAAATATGTGGGCACCTTAGAAACATGAATGCTACTCTTAAGGTAATGTTCATTTTTGCATCGATCTAAATCAATTCTAATTGAACGATGGCGGTACGCAAGATCTACTCTACTGATCATACATATAAAAAGAAAGTAGTACATAAAAGATTATGGGAATCGGCAAAATTTCGCTCTATCAACAATAATTTTAAAAGTACGAATTAAATTTGCAAGCTATAGTAGGTGACAATGTAATTTGCTCTAACTTCATCTCTCGCATCCATATTACTATAGCGCTGTTCACGTACGTAACGTTGCCATTGTAACGCCACTCGCCTCGTGTCTATTGCACACCATGCTAAAATTTCCTCCAACACTGCTTCGTTGTCTGCCGCCGAAAGCGCCGGCACCATCAAGCAAGATATATTGTAGTTTCGAGAAAAACAAGTCAACTTGAAGGCCATATGGGTCATATCTTAGAGCTATAATTACCCCTGTCGTCGGATTAGCATTCCGTCTAGACAGCCAGCGGCCAGTCATCCAGAAGATTTGCTCTGCCGACTATCCGGTCCAGTCACCAACATGACTAATTGAGAAATGGGGTTCATCGTACTTTTCTTTTTCCTCTCCTCTTCGTTCATATGCTTCTATATATGTGTACAGGTGGTCGAACGCCGCCTACATAGCTACCCATTCAGTCATCCATTTACGCATTTTTCTTCATTATTCTAGGTGAATCATTTTCGTACGAAATGCCAGTGTCCGTAATTCACTTTGTACAATCCCTCCTGTTTCGTTTCCAGCTGAATCAGTTGATCAGACCCAGACGAATCAGCTCTGTCCGAGTAAGTAGTCACATCCTTTCTAAATCCCGCATTGAATATCGGATTTACGACACTTAGTAACCAAACTCTATATTACTTATAATAAAAATGCCACCTGCAATCAACAGCTTAGAGTCCATACATTAGCCACTTTTTATGACATGGGGAAGTTTCTATAGCCAGGAGATATAGGCGTACGTAGCCGTTATCTTGTGTCGGAAGTAGCTTGAAGCAGTTTTCGATAAATCCGAAAAGTCGGGCCTTTTAGATCGAAAACGTACGCTTTTTTGCACTTCGTGAACGACAAATAGTGACAAATGGTAATGTCAAAGATACTATTTCTTACCAAGCGACATATCCATTCTAGAAACCAGAAGCGAGGGCAAAGTTTTGCGATCTAGATAGAGCCCGGTGAGAATAAACTTAAAAAACATGTTAACAGCTTCCGACGGTACATATGTAATATTTACATATCAGCAAGCAAAAATTGCCCGTACCCTTAAACATTCTTATACACTGAATAGTTCTTTTAGAAGTTACATTACTGTCAGGAACCAAAATAAATATAGAGGGAGAAAAAAATATATAATTTTTGATAAAGTTGATTCTTCAAACACTTCTATTGGAAAGGAAGTAAGATGTACAAAGCCTCCTTATATATTTCTGTCTATTTAAGTATCCATTTCAAAACACCGTCCAATAAAAACGCGATCAAGTTATTGTATGTTGTTTATCTAAATTGGTAGAAATTACTCGAGACGCTGAAAACGAATCGCATGAGTTTGAGTTACCGTTTACAGTGTCCTCGTGATGGTACGTCCTTAACCTTCCCACTCAAATTATTCGTTAATCATTAGATCCTACCATTTATTTCTTCAGTCCCTAAAAAGGCCATGAGACGATGAGAAGTGAGAATCACGGGTAATAACCATCCCTAGTTATGTTTTGTCGCTCGTTACTTATAGGGTAGGCTGACGAGAATCTTGCTGTGAGTATTTTTGGCACAGATCAGCCGTGATGGCGCTCATGAATCTCATCGCAGCAGCACTATTCCTAAATACGTTTTATTGGTCATTTACCAAATCAGGGTGCTGCTTTCTACGTATGTTTAGAGCTCATCCATTACACGCGAATAATTAGCGATACCCAGATCATGCTTTCTGTTGTATACTTTCAATGTAGCATGTGAAG